ATAAACCCTAATTCCTAAACCCTAAACCCTCCATTCATAAAGAGAAAACAAGACAAAACCCTAATAGTTAATCATCGCAAAGGAAAGGGTTTTAGTGCTCTCGCTCTCTACTTCTCCTATTTGTTTTAAGGGTTTAGGGTTTAGGGTTTAGGGTTTGCAGTTAAGCCTTAAGGGTTTAGGGTCTAGGGTTATGGGTTTAAGGTTTGCAGTTAAGGGTTAAGGGTTTAGGCTGTAGGGTTTGCAGTTAAGTGTTTAGGGTTTAGAGTATGCGGTTAAGGGTTTAGGGTTTAGGGTGTGCGGTTAAGGGTCTAGGGTTTAGGGTTTGCAGTTAAGGGCTTAGGGTTTGCAGTTAAGGGCTTAGGGTTTAGGGTTTGCAGTTAAGGGTTCAGGGTTTAGGGTTTAGATTTTCTTCTGTATGCTGCAACAGCAGGACATCAATGCTAATGCTGCTCAATGAGCAGGTCACCTGCTGTTGCTGCTGCTCTTGCTGCTGCTGTTGCTGCTGCAGCTGCTGCTGTAGCTACTTGCTTTTTAGTTTGTTGGCTTCTTGCTACAGACAGCAACAGCAGCAGAAGCAGCAGCAGCAGCAGCAGCAGCAAATGCCAAAGACGCCCTCCCTCTCCTCGTGTCTAAAACCAGCAGCAGCATCTGCTGCTGCTGCTGTTGCTTCGACTTCTGCTGCTGCAGCAGCTGCAGCAGCTGTTGCTGCTGTTTCTGCTGCTGCTGCTGTTCTTGAACTAGCAGCAGAAGACCGTTGCCGTAGGCCTAAGTGTCTGGCTCTAAAACCCTAAACCCTAAACCCTAAAACCCTAAACCCTAAACCCTAATTAATCCTTAATGATAAACCCTAAACCCTAAACCCTAACCCTTAGTGGAAAACCCTAAACCCTTAATAAAAACCCCAAAAAACTCCAAAGCCAACAACGCTAAAACCCTAAACCCTCAAACCCTAAACCCTAAACCCTAACTGTGCTGAAGTGCTCTACCCTCATGCAGCAGCAACAGAGAACTGCAGCGGAAGCTAATGTTGCTGTTGCTGTTGCTGCCTCTGTTCCTGCTGCTGTTGCTGCTGCTGCTGCTGCTGCTGCTGCTGCTGGTGCCCTTCTAATCGTTACGGTGCACAACTACCTCTAAACCCTAAACCCTAATCAGCTGCACCATAAGTCCTATATACCCTAAACCCTAAACCCTAAACCCCAAACCCTCAAAAGTACGGGCCTTGAATCCCCTGTTCGCAGTTTTCTATACTTCAATCTCCTGCAGACGAACGCCTGCTGCTGCTGCTGCTGCTGCTGCAGCAGCAACACAGCAGCAGCAGCAGAGGCAGCAGCAGCGGCAAATATGTTTGTGGGGGATTTAAATAGCAGCAAACCCCACAAGCAATGCCGCTGCAGAAACCTGAGTAGCTTCTTCCCTTAGTGCCTCTCCTAGCTAGCTAGCTAGCTAGCTAGCTAGCTAGCTGGCCAGCTAGCTAGCTAGCTTGCTAGGGTTAGATAGCTACCTAAGGTAATTCTTAGCTAGCTAGCTAGCTAGCTAGCTAAGATAGCTAGCTACCCGAGGAGGCCGATTGCTGCAGCAGCACGGCCCTCTGCAGTCTTTCGCGTTGCTTGCTAGCTAGCTAGCTAGATAACTGGGAGCTGCCCAGCTAACTAGCCGTCCAGCTACCACAGTAGCCATCTAGCTAGCCAGCTATCTAGCTATCTAGCTGGCCAGCTAGCTAGCTAGCTAGCTAGCCAGGAGTCGGGACGGTTAAGTATAAGAGGCATTACTGCGTCGTATGTGTACTTCCTTCTAGGTGTATAGCTAGCTGCCCCTGCAGCTAGCCACCCAGCTATCCAGCTAGTGGTAAGCCAGCTAGCTAGCTAGCTAGCTAGCTAGCTAGGTAGCTAGCTACCTAGCTAGCTGGTTAGCTAGTAAGTGTATTGACAGTTGTTGCGCAGCTGCTGCAATGCCTACTAGCTTGCTAGCCATCATCCATCAATCCCAGCTAGCTAGCTAGCTAGCTAGCTAGCTATAAAGATGGAGGGAATTGGCTAGCTCCCCTGCTAGTTGGCTTGGCTGCTGCTGAGTGTTGAATCCCTTTATTGAGCTGCATAAACAATCCATCTAGCTAGGTAGCTAGCTAGCTAGCTAGCTAGCTAGCTGAATAGCTAGCTAGCTAGATACATAGCTAGGTAGATAGCCATGAATCAATCAATTAATGCTAGCTAGCTAGCCATCTAGGTAGCTAACTAGCCATAAATAAATAAATCAATAAATATAGCTAGCTAGCTAGCTAGCTAGCTAGCTAGCCACGAATCCATCAATGAATCCATGAATATCTATGGTCCCCCATCCCTCCGCAGCTAGCTAAACAACTAGATACATCCATAGGTAGCTAGCTAGCTAGCTAGCTAGCTAGCTAGCTAGCTAGCTAGCTAACTAACTAGGTATTTATTCATGTAAATGATTAAGAAGACTTCCTTGTGCCTTAATCCATCTTTTTCTTTTTCTTATACTGGTGATTTGCGCAAAAGTACCAAATAATACACAAATAGTAGCAAGAAAAGAGAGAGAAAAAGAAAGAAAAGAAGAAGAATTAAATTTAATTATTTTTTGTATATTTAATATACCTAATAAGGAGAAAAGAATACCACCAATAAATAGTTCTTCTGTTCCTTTATAAGGGGGAAGAATTTCGTCTTCTTCTTCTTCATTATCTATAGAATAATCGTTATAAATAGTATTTTGCTGCTGTTGCTGCTGCTGCTGCTGCTGCTGCTGCTGCTGCTGCTGCTGCTGCCCTCCTCTTATACTTTTTATTCTATTTGTTATATTCATACCTAATTTACGTAGAGAATTAAATCCATTGGTTATACGCCTATTTGCTAATAAATCGGGCTTATTTGCTGCTGCTGCTGCTGCTGCTGCTGCTGCTGCTGCTGTTAATAACTCACCACCACTAGATTCTGTATTTGGTGTTGATGATGCATATGCTGCTGTTGACCCTGAGTGCTGCTGCTGCTGCTGCTGCTGCTGCCTTTGTTGCTGCTGCTGCTGCTGCTGCTGCTGATAAGATGCTGATGAAGAAGAGGAAGATGATCCTGCTGCTGCTGCTGCAGGCCATTGTCCATTTGATACAGATAATGACATATCTCCTGCTGCTGCTGCTGCTGCTGCTGCTGCTGCTGCTGCTGATCCATCATTAGATAAATAATATCCACCTGATCCTATACCTCCTGATTCTCCTGCTGCTGCTGCTGCTGCTGCTGCTGCTGCTGCTCTATCCAATGGATCTCTTAATACCCCCACAGCTAACAAACCTAACATACCCAGCAGCAGCAGCACACTAGGCCTCCCCATGGTGGCTACAGCAGCAGCAGCAGCAGCAACAGCAGCAGATAAGGGGGGGGAAAAGGAGAGAAAAAAAAGATATAAAAGGAATAAAGAAGAATATATATTAGATATAGATATATACTTGCTGCAGCAACTGCACCAACTGCAGCAAATGCAGCAGCAGAAGCAGCACAAGTAGCAGCAAATAGATCTATAGATTTATACTAAAGAATTTATACTGCTGCCTTTATGAGCACAAAAAGAGAAGCAGCTGCAGCAGCAGCAGCAACTGCAGCAGCAGCAGCAGCAGATCCTGCTGCAGCAACTACTAACAATAGCAGCAGCAACTACAAGGAAAGGACAAGAAGCAGCAGCAGCAGCAGCAGCAGCAGATAATATTCCGTAGATGATCCTGCTGCTGCTGCTGCTCTTCTATACGTAATACGTACACTCGAACAACAACGGGACTGAATGCTCTCAGCCGCAAGCTGCTGCTGCTGCTGCTGCTGCTGCTGCTGCTGCTGCTGCTTTAGTGGGGAGGAATACTGCAGCAGAAATAAAACTTTAACAAAAAGAAGAAGAAAAGAATGCAGCACAAAGAAGGAAGAAGAAAAAAGGGCCCCATGCTTGCTGCTGCTGCTGCTGCTGCCTCCATCAACAACAACAGCAGCAGCAGCAGCAGCAGCAGCAGCACCTTGTGTTGAGCACTTTTTGAGCATGTGCTGCTGCTGCTGTTGCTCACTCTCTTTTTTTTTTTTTGCTGCCTTTTCTTCTTTTTTTCTTCTTTTTTATTATTATTTAATTAATTAATTTAATTAATTAATTTAATTAATTAATTATTTTTGCTGCTGCTGCTGCTGCTACTTAGTTGTACACTCTAGCGGCCCCTCTCTGCTGCTGCTGCCGCTGCTGCTGCCGCTCCTGCTGCTGCTGCTGCAGCAGATCAGGGAGCGGTGCGCTTCTCCTTATAAATAATAAAATAATTATTTATTTATATTTATTATTTATTATTAATTATATTTATATTTATTTATTATATATAAACATATAATAAAGGGAGATCTTGTATGATCCCTCCTTGCTGCTAGGGTTGCTGCTGCTGCTGCTGCTGCTAGTGTTGCTGTTGCTGCTGTGGGGGGCCTTTGGGGAGAGGAAGGAGCGTTGGGGTCTGCTGCTGCTGCTGCTGCAGCAGCAGCAGCAACAATTAGGATTTGTACCATTTTATTATATTTAAATAAAGTTTCTATAGAAGCCGTCTGTATAAGCGCTGCTGCTGCTGCTGCTGCTGCTGCTGCTGCAACGGCTTCTTAGCGCCGCCCCTAGTCTGGTAGTAGTAGCCTTCTGCCCCCCTCGCTGCTGTTCCCTCTTCTGCTGCTGCTGCTGCTGCTGCTGGGTATTTATCCCCTTGTTATTGCTGTTATCTGTAGCAGATTAACAAAGCTGTCTTTTTGTTTGTCCCTTTCTGCTGCTATTGCTGCTGCTGCTGCTGCTGCTTGTGTGCTGTACTTGTTGCGCTGCTGCTATTTATAGTAGTAGCGCATACCCCACCATTAGGTATTAGTATAGTAGGCAAGCTACAACAGTAGCAGCAGCAACAGCAACACAAACACCAACAGCAGCAGCAACAGCAGCAACAGCAACAGCAGCAGCAGCAGCAGCAGCAGCAGCAGCAAAAATGGGGAGAAGACAGAAAGCAGCAAAAGGAGCAAAAAATAGAAAATTAAAAAGAGGCACAAGAGATCTAAAAAGGAGAACACAAGACCAAGATCAGGGTAACTCCTCTTATTAGCTATATACCTAGCTAGCTAGCTAGCTAGCTACCTAGCTACCTAGCTAGCTAGCTAGATACGTGCTTACCTAGCTAGCTAGCTAGCTATATATGTAGATATATAGCTAGCTAGCTAGCTAGCTGTATATGTAGATTTAATAGTTGACACACAGTAATCAGTGCAGGTAGCGGTAGTTGATGGATAGCTAGCCAGCTAGCTAGCGAGCTGGCTAACTGTCTAGATAGCTAGCTAGGTAGGTGTGTAGATGGGCAGTTAATCATCATCTAGTTATCAGGTTTGTAGCTAGCTAGCTGGCTAGCTAGCTAGCTAACTAGCTAACTAGCTAGCTAACTAGCTAACTAACTAGCTAGCTAACTAGCTAGCAGTACGAGTATCTATTTCTTCAGCTAGCTAGAGTTGTACACTTATCCCTTAGTTCTTCTTAGTTATTTAGCTAGCTAGCTAGCTAACTAGCTAACTAGCTAGCTAACTAGCTAGCCAGTTATATAACAGGACAGCTAGCTAGATGTCTATAGCTAGCTGGGTAGGTAGCTAGCTAGCTAGTATGTGTGTGTGTCTGTGTGTGTGTATGTGTGCAGCTCACCATGCTGTGATGGCAGCAGCTGCTGCAGCTGCAGCAGCAGAAGCAGCAGGTGGTCCACCTGAAGCAGCAGCAGCAGCAGCAGCAGCAGCAGCAGGAGCAGCAGCAGATGAGGATTTACCAGGAGGAGGAAGATTTGTTTGTTTTTCTTGCGGTAGATTTTTTATTAATAAAGAAACATTAGATAAACATAATAAGACAAAAGGGCATAAAAAAAGAAGTAAACAAGCAGCACAATTACCATGGACACAAGCAGCAGCAGAAGCAGCAGCTAAATAAATAATATTAATAATATTCAAGCAGCAGCAGCAGCAGCAGCAGCAGAAGCTGCAGCAGAAGCAGCAAAAAACACAGCAAGAGCTCAATAAAAGGACATAAAAAAAGAAGTAAGCAAGCAGCACAATTACCATGGACACAAGCAGCAGCAGTAGCAGCAGCAAAATAAATAGTAATGCAGCAGCAGCAGCAGCAGATGCTGCTGCAGCAGCTGCTGCAGAAGAAGCAGCTGCAGAAGAAGCAGCAGCAGCTCAATAAAAAGGCATAAAAAAAGACACAAGCAAGCAGCACAATTACCATGGGCACAAGCAGCAGCAGAAGCAGCAACTAAGTAAATAATACAACAGCAGCAGCGGCTGCTGCTGCAGCAGCTGCAGCAGCAGCATAATTATCATGGACACAACCAGCAGCAGAAGCAGCAGCTAAATAAATAACTTTATACATAATGTGGGGGGGGCCCTAACTTATATGGGGGCCCCCCAATTACCTTCTTTATTGAGAGGGGCCCCCAGAGGGGGCCCCCACGAAAGGGCACGAAGAAAGGCTATATGGGGCTTCCCCTAAGGAACAGGGAAGGGAGGGCGGGGCCCTTAAGGGCATTATTGGGCCCTTGCTTGTTTATACCTCTAGGGGGCCCGTTAGGGGTAACCCTTTTTATGGGGGCCCCCAAGTACCGTAGTAGGGGGGGCCCCCAAGTACCTTAGTAAGGGGGCCCCCTATTACCATGGTAGGGGGGCCCCCCTTGAGAGTCTTCTATAGAAGACACACCGCACAATATATCAATGAGTTCCTCTATAGGGGCCCCAGTAGGGGGCCCCCAAGTAGGGGCCCCCAATTAGTCTATAAAGGGGGCCCCTAAATAATCTATTTAGGGGCCCCCCAATAGTCTATTTAGGGGGCTTCCACTAATCTATTAAGGGGGGCCCCAATTATCTATTTAGGGGGCCCCCTAATGGGGGCCCCCTAAATAGATACCCCTCAATAGGGGCCCCCAAGGAACCTTTGTATGTTTTATACTTTTATTGTTTTGTTTGTTTTATTCATTTGCTGCTCATCAGCAGCAACAATTAAAGGAATATAACCCTAAGAAGGGGGAGTAAGCTAGCTAGCTAGCTAGCTATCTAGCTAGCTAGCTGGATAGTGCTAGCTAAATACACAGCTAGCTGGTTAGTGCTAGCTAAATACACAGCTAGCCAGCTAGCTAGCTAGCTAATTAGCTAGCTAGCTAATCAGGGTAAGTCCAGCTAGCCGAAGAGAGACAAACCCAATCCCTGTCAAGTTAATCAGCTAGCTAACTAGCTAGCTAGCTAGATAGATAGCTAGCTATATAGCTAGCTATATAGCTATATAACTGGCTAACTATCTAGCTGGCTAGCTAGCTAGATAGCTAGCTAGCTAGCTAGATAGCTAGCTAGCTAGCTAGCTAGATAGCTAGTTGTTGTTTTGCTTAAGGATGGGCAAAGAAGAAAACAAAAGCAGCAAAGGCAGCAGAAACTACTACTACTGCTGCTGCTGCTGCTGCTGCTCTTGATGCTGCTG